AGATCTGCTAATTAGGAGAGAGCTACTTTTCTGGTAATGTGAGGATGGATGCAAATGAATTCTGTTTGATAAAAATGCTGCTGTCCTGGCTAATCCCTTGAATTTATTATTTTGGATACAAGGATTAGATTCATCCCTAGTATAGTATCCACTGATTTGTTTTCAAGTAAGTGTAAACTTAATGGGTATAAACAGATGCTATTTCCTGGAAAGGTTCTTTCAAATACATTCCTGTAATATATTTTAAGTGTTATTACTTTGCCTTCCCTTTTTGGAGACATTTTTCTCAGTTTTGTTTTGTATTTTGCAACTACTGATGTCCTCTCTGTCCTTTTCTCTCTGCTCAACACATTTTCTAGGGTTTAGAAATTACTATGGTTCTTCAGATTTCTCCTTAAATGTGCTAAAAATGTTATCAGCAAATAGAGAAAAGACTTTTTTATTCTGCTGCACTCCCTCTATTGACTGACTGTGCCAAGACAAAGTGAATAATATAGTAGTCATCATCTGCAAACAGAAATGTTTGGGCCAGATCATCTCTGCTCATATGAAGTGCCAAATTTTCACTCTCTTCAGGAGAAATACATCTCTGCACAAGTTCTAAAAATACAGTTTCTGTTAAATTTCTCTTTAGAGCACCCATCTGACATACTTCTTTTAAGCAGCTAATAATTTAAGAAGAATTCTCCAGTTTGCCCTGAATTATTTCACAAAATAATCCTTATTAATTAATTATTTAACAAAATACTTAATTATTATTAACATCATATTTGTGTGAGCCCTAGCTGTTTAAATAATCTTGGGCTCTACATTCTTCTATGTATTTTTACTTGCAAGTAGCCTGCATTATCGCAAAAGCCTTTATCTGTGTAATTAGTTTTACATGGATTTTGTAATGAAAAGTGTATGTGCAAAAAGGAATGGTGTGCTGGATATGTCCCCCAAAATGAAACCACTAACATCAAAGCAGTGATAATGTCAGTACCACACTAATGATGGAAGAGCTAAAGGACACTGTGTGACCAGTGGGTGCAAGCAGTGGGCCCAGGCAGTTCTAGAGGGTGTTACAGCACCGTGATACTTCCAGCTGTGTATTAACCTCTAACTCCAAGGCTGTAATTTTGCCCCCACTCTCCTATCTGAAACAGTGTTTGAAAAACTCATAGCTGCTTTCATTCTGTACAGCCTAGATGAGTGTGTGGCATGTACACTGCCTTCCCTGCCTTGCTCTTGTTGCTCCTTTAATTAGATGATACTAACTTACTTCTACCTGCAGGCATCTTCCTCAAGCTAACTAGGCAGCAGTTACGTGCTTAGTTAGCTTTTCTCTTGCTGTGCTAAACAGGTCAGCTCTGGTAGTGTCTTTGGATGGGAAATCTCTTTGTCTCCCATGTTCTACTGGAAATCCCCACTCTTATGTTCTATGGCCTCATTTGCCTTTTTCATCATGTTACTTGTTTTGTCACTCTCTCATTGTAGTCGTCATTTGTCCTTACCGGGTCATCTCCCATGTTACATTTTAATTTTCTGCCCCAGACCTTGTTGCTGACCCCATTTCTTCGGCTCACATCTTCAAGCTGCATGTATCGCTTCACTACTCCACTGACATTAGAATGTGCAGGTACTCTTCTACCTTGGTCACAGTGATCAAGAGTTATGGAAGGACAAGAGTAGCCCCAGAATGGATCCTGAAGACCCACTGCTGATCTTAATTGATTTGATGCATCCCTTCTTAATGGCACTTACTTGCTATTATTTCTCCTTTAGCTGTTTTTTAACTATGCAAAACGTCTTAGTCCTCAGATTCCTTAATAGCGTAAAACACAATGTCAAATGCATTACTAAAGTCCTGAAAGATGAGACCTATTACACCTAATTTGTTCACAAAATCTTTTACCTCATCTAAGAAAACTATATGGATAATTTATATGGTGTCCTCTTGCTAAATTGCTGTTGCACTTTATCTCATTTTTCATTTACCTCTGTGTCTTTATATATTGTCTCTCTCAAAATGTATTTTAAAGCCTTTCATACTAATGAGGTCCAACGAAATAGCTTGTAATTTCCCAACTGCCATCTCCTCTTATTTTTCTTCTCTGATTTTTTTGTAAGTAAAGAAACCATATCTACTATTTTTCAGTTTCACTCCCAACTAGATGGTGCTATTAAAAATATTTGTCACTGGACCAGCATTACACGTGAGAGGAATTTTTAGAAGTGTGAGATGGTGATTAATCAGACTTCAAGCATTTAACTCTTTGAATTGGTTTTTTTGCTAGCTTTGGTAGTTTCTATTTGTATATCCACGTTCTTATTATTCACCTTATCTTTGTCTGTAAATTTAACCTAAAATTTTCTGATTGAAAACTGGGGGAATATACTTACTTGAGGCCTTCCTTGTGTTGTCTTTAATCTCTTTTTCATCCTTCCTCCACAGTGGCACAGTTTTTACTATGTGCTTTGATATTCTTTGCAGGACAGAAGTCAGTTAAGTTCGTGGGAGTTCAAACTTTATCTTTGTACTTCCTGACTTCTCTGAAGTTTCTAGCTTGTGGACAGTACTTTTGGCATTGTGTGAACTTTGCTTATTTCCAGTACCTCCATTTTTTTGGTTTCTGGCTGCAGTTTTGTAAAAGCTACTTGTTCAATTTACTGTCTCTTTTCTGTACTACAGAAAAGGCAAAACTCGAGAGAGTTTAAATGCCATTTTTATTGTCATTTTACAATACTTTACTGTGTTAGTGCAATTCTTAAGTTCCCATGCCTACCTTTCTTCTCTCTTATATGAATAATCCTCCTCATGTCAGAATCAAAGCTATGAAGATTATTTGCGAGAGAAAAGGTTTGCAGATTAGGGTCTACATTCCTTGAAGTACTTTCACCAGGTACAGCATTTTTTCACAGCAGTGGCTTTTTTAGCTGTGCTGTAAAAGCTGTTTAAGAGATACACGTGCAGTATCAAAAGGAATGCAAAATGTTTTGGAGGATGAAACTGCTTGGAAACTGAAGAATGCAGGGATTTGTTCAGGTGCCCAGTATTTCTCTAATAGCGTTTTTGCCAATCGACTCGTGTTCTATTTCTGTCTTTTAAGTATTATTAGATTTTCTTTTGGCACACTGGTGATTTGCAAATGTACAAGTACTGTTCTGAGTGCTTGGGAAAATGGTCTTTCACAGAACTAAATTGTTGCCTGAAAAAAATCTTTGGTAACTACTTATTGCTTGGACTTTTGTTAAGTCTCAAGATATGTCATGGCTGTGTTGCACTAACAGTAGAAAAGCATATTTAGCATCTGATTGTGCCCCAAAGAGCTTGCAACTGAAATATGTAAAATACATTCAGCACCTAAGGAAGTAAACATCATTTTCATGGTTACTGTGAAAGGTGGGAAAGAAGCCAGTGTCACTCATCTGGGGCACAACCAGTAGCTGCACCCAATCCGATTGATTTCTCAGTCTCTCAGTTGCAGGAATGTTTTTTCCTATTTTCATCCACTACAGTTGTTAGTAGGAGTAGGAAATTTCAGTAGGATACTGGGAATAAAAGGAGACAAAATTTCATTTATCTTCCTGCTGTTTCACTTCAATAATCTGTCACCATACGCAAAGCAATTGGTAAAAGTAGAAAGTGTGGTATGTTCTCCACTGCAGCCATTGCATTTTGTAGCCACTCCAGAGGGAATATGCATTAGCCATTAATCTGTTACAGGGAGGAGGCTGTGGATGGGTCAGAACACAATTTGTCTGTTAATTTGCAAATATTGAGCAAAAGAGATTAACAGGCTGAACAAAGAAGTAGATGACAATGCAGAAAACATTTTTTGGCATTTTAAAACCTTTCTTTTGAATTGAGTCCATTCATAAGTAATATGATGCAGAGTTCTGAGAAGATATCAAAAAGTCTCTGCAGATTTAGATTTTCAGATTAGCTGGTGAACTGCACAAATGTGACCTGAATTATGACTCTCCTGTGGTTCCTACTTATAAATCCTTTTTCCACTACAAATACATTTTGAAATATATTTAAAATAATGAGTTAATGAAAAAAAGAGGGTTTTTTTAATGGACACAACTACTTTGAGTAGTGTAACTTTTTGCTGTGAGAATGAAAAAAAAAACCTTCTTCAAATCTCTTTTGTATGTAACTACATTCATTTACTTCAGCAGCATCAGTGAATCTAAGTTTGACCGACAAAAGTCAGCTGGAATGTCACTTCTGTGAGTGTGTGTCAGAAAGATTCAGGAGAGGTTAGTGAGGAATGTGTGTGTTTCAGTACTTCCCCAATATGTCATCTTCCCATCAAAGCAGGATCCTGGGCCATAGAAAATCATGGAAGCAGAATTCTGTCATTTCACGTATGTACACAGCTATTATTTCCCTCTCAGGCAGTGAAACTATGTACTCTATTTAGAAAGAAAGAGTTTTTTGTACAACTGTAATTATGAAGAAATTCCTTTCTGTCAGGGTGGTGAGACACTGGAACAGGCTGTCCATGGAGGTACAAACCTGGCAGTCTTCAAGGCCTTCAGCAGCCTTGTCTAGTGAGAGGTGTTCCTGTCCAGGGCAAGGCAGGGTTGGGACTAGATGATCTTTAAGATCCCGTCCAACACAGACCATTCTATGATTCATTCTATGGTTCTGTGATTTCCAAAAAGAACAACAAATCCCGTAGAAGTGCTTGCATAATGTTATATTAAGGAATTTCAAGGAAAATCTGATCAAGATGGTACTCAGACTATGAATAGAATTTCAAGCACCATCACAGTGTTGCAAAGAGTCCTACAAGAAGGTCTCCTCTGGCACCAGTGTTGCAGTTCTCACCTAGCAAATCTTGTGCTCAGTAATTCATTTCAACAGCAACAAAAAAATACAAATAATTTTATCACTGATAATGTTTTTTCCTCAGTTTCTTTTCTAAAACAATCAACACAAATCTTTGTTCTCTTATTCTTCATGTTTTGAGGGTTTTTTTTTTGTTTTGTTTTTGTTTTCTTTTCAGGGAAGAAGGTGTTCAAACAATTGGAAACTTTTCAATCAAGAATGTGGAGATAATAGGTTAAATAGGGCTGATAATTCATGGTAAGGAAAGTCTGCTCTGTGCTTGTTTTCTGAACAATATTTTCAGAAAAAAGGATCTTAGCCTTACAATTTGTAGTCCTGCATGAACTTTTCAGGAAAGCAATTCTGCTATATCAGGGACATTCTGTTTGTTAACAGGCTGTAAAATAATGGGTGTTGATTTAAAATTCAGAGACACAAAAATAACTGGTTTAATTTTTGGATGCATAAAATATTCAGATAACTAGTTGAAAAGAAACCCCATACCATTTCTTTCAATGCTTGTCTGTTAAAAATGAAGGATATTTTTGACTTTGCTTATAAGCCTATGTTGATTTTTCCGAGCTCTGGAGCATGAGCTGCAATACAAATAGAATGGCATAGCTATTTACCCAGCAGTTGTCCAGACAAACTGACCTGATTAAGGTGAAAATTTTTCATTGCAGCAGTTTTCTATGGGTGTTAGGATATTTTTAGTGAAAAGGCATGTTTTTGTGCAGGTTTATTTTAATAACCCCCCCCGCCTTCCCAGACACCAAACATTCAACTTAAACATTTATTACATATTTTAATTTAAATAAGTCTCTATAGTGCCTTCTGAGGATGACAATTTAGATGCTTATTTCTCCTATTCTACTTAAGGGCCTGTTTTCCTGTTTGGACTTAGTGCTCCATGACATGCCACTGTCTCTGCTTTATGGCTGTGGACATAGCCTATTCTGTGATGAATTGGGGGAAATACAGTCTAGTAGTGTAGCTACACAAGGGAATGAGAATATGAGTCACTCAAACTTTAATATCTGTGAGTGCTAAAGCTTGTATTTAAAGCTCCCCTGGAAAACTTAATTCTTTTCTGCAAGAGGAAAAACCTGAAAATATTTTTAATTACCTCTAGTCAGCTAATTTTTGTTTACTATTGAATACATATGGTGACTGTGGTAAAATTATTCCACAGGATATAAGTTAGTATTTTAGCTGTGCAGAAAAGTAATACTGTGAGTGAAAGGCTCAGACTGAATTTTTGTACAAATGATTTCATCTGACAGGTGGAAGAGAAGGGTGATTTTAAGTCAGAGGCATGCTGGGCTATTGGTATTCTTCAGCCATACTCTATTTGTGCAGAGAACTTTTTTGTTGATGTCTCTATTAATCCTCTCTCTCCGTTTGTAGCATTTGATACAGAAAGCATTTTTTCACACAAGCGTTGTGCATGTAGCATGGCCCACACAACTGAAATTCATCTGTGAACTACAGTGTCAGCTTGACATCAATTACTGTCTGTGGCTCCAGGATAGGTATCTTTAAGCATCAAGCAACAAGCAGAAGTTGTATTTCAAAGCCTTGAAACCTGGTCTGAAGCTGCTGGTCTTAAAGCTCTCATCCAATTTGGATGGTATTTTCTCAGCTTGGATTGCTTAATCAATGCTCTGTTTTCACTTCATTGGCAAAAAATAATATAAAAAGAAAGCTTCTCTATTAACAAGTCATTTGTCATTTCCAAGCTGGCAGCAGAGGTCTGCACAGTCATGTCTACTGAGTTGCTAAATCTTTATGCCTTCTTCTCTTTGGAGAATCATTAGGTTTAGAATCACTTGCCTCTACAGGGCTGATCAGTATGGCTTGTTTTAAAACATGTCAAAAATGTTGGGCAGCAGCTTGGTAAAAACTTCCACATTATGGATCATTCTGATTGACTGGGCATAGTTTAATACCAGTTGTGCGATTATTTTTCATACAGGTTGCAAAGATGCTTACACATCCTAATTGAGACTTTAGTCTGAACTTGGCACAGAGCTATAGTGCATCTAAGCTCTTCCAATTTTTCTTCATATTAATCCAAAATATGTTTATTTTCTCTCTGTTAATTTGAAATCTGAGTAATTGTTGCTCAGTGCTATTACAAGACCTTGCCCAGAGAAGTTTTGAATGCCCCATTCCTGAAAAAGTTCAAAGCCAGGTTAGATGGGGGCTTAGAGAAACCTAATCTACTAGAAGATGTCTCTGCCCATGTCCGAGGGATTGAAACTCGATGATTTTTAAGGTCCCTTCCAACCCAAACCATTCTGTGGTTCTATGACTCTGTGACTGTTGAGAAACTGATTTTCAGAAAAGCTGTTTGCCCACATTGTCTTCAGCTCAAGTCAAGTGTTGCTGCTTCTAAACACCACTGGTACACAGTCAACCTAAATCTCTGAAAGAGACCGAACTGCAGCCCAGCCCTCAGCCCATCACATCAGACCAAACCTGGCTGCCAGGGGTTTGTGGCCAAGCGCAGAACAAGTGATGTGTGTGCATATTTCTGTGCCCACCCTGACTTCCATCCAGTAACCTTCAGCACATCGTAATTGTATCCTGGAGTCTCATGTGCCTTAAGACAGTGAGTGACCTTGACTTGGAGCAGCTACAGAGCAGGCACGTGTTTCAGCTGACAAGGCCTCTGGCAAAGGGGCAGGTGGGGAAGCCTGTGGAAAACCTCTGTGCCAGAATTCATTTGAACTTATTCTTTTTGTGACTGCAAGGTGGATGGGAGATGGAGGAGAGCGGAGTTACCGTCCTCCTTTATTCCCTTGTATTTCAGGGAGTTAGTCCCTATCAGGGAGAAAGAAGGGCAGTCCCTGTCACCAGGCAGAGTTTTTTGGGTCTCTACCTTTGTATGCACCATGTGAGGGTATGACTTTTCTCTCATCTCCTCCACCATACCATGAAGACAGACTCTCCTCTCCTTGTATAACTAGGTTTTCAGAGCTCAGCAGCAAAAGTGCAGACCTTGTTCTTCTAGAAAATGACATGACATTTTGTTAGTGCCAGAGAGAATTGGACTCCAGTATCCAAAGACTGAATTTAGGTCTTTTTTTGAGTACTGCATTTCAAGTTAAATCATTTTGTTTTCTGACCAATTCATAGTGAAGAACTACATCTCTGTTTCCTGTCTTGTATGCTATAAATGCAACTTGATTAGATTATATTTATTGTACTTTGAACTTCAAATATTTCCTGCAGTTTCCAGGAAAAGAAAGGAAGGAAAAGTAGGAGAAAAATCATGACATAAATGACTTTGGTCTAATTTGTAACTTTCAGATTTTGAGTATTTCTTAATTTGATTTGCAGGTGATGATCTGCTGACAGAATAAATAAATCATAGAAAGTGCCGAGACTGCACAGGCATTTGCTGTGGTATTCCTACATGAGAAACCTTTGTCACAGTCTTTCTTCAAGTATGTTCTCTCCTGGGGTAAGTGTTTCAGACATACAATCTTCTCCTGTGTCAAGAGTTTTCAGCAGAGGGAATGAGATGAGTTCTGAAAAGTCCAGCCCAGGTCCTAGACTTTGTTGTCAGAACTGGAAGCTATGGATAGTAAACCTAGCTGTACTCATGTTAAACACATACAAGGTTTGGTAAGGCTGTGGAGTGTAGTAAACACCACAGAACTAAGTTACAGGTGTCACTAACTTTAGTTTGTGTTTCCTTTGTCCCTGTGAAATGGACCACATTTGTACAGGGTGTAAAATTCTTTACTTGTCTGTTTACAGGAAATTAATTTTTTTAATACTGGCACCTGTATTTTAATTTAAGACTTTCTGAATTATGTCAGTTCCTCTAAATAACTAAAAAAGACTCTCTTGTCCAATACTAAAAACAAGTAAACAAAAATCCATTAATAATTCTGACAACTAACCTTTGGAATGGAGACCTAATTAGTTCTTATTGAGCTTGGTTCAAAGATCATTGAAGCAATTTGGAGTTTTACCATTAAAGTTAATTGACTTTAGAGCAAAATCCTCAGACATGCTGGTTTAGCAAGCAGTCTCTGTGTCACCCATCAGCAGCATCACCTCCAGACAGACTGTGTGAGCTGTTCTGTTTGACGTTGTTTCTGGTAAGGATGTTGCTTAAGTTGATTATGTCCCTGTGGGCTAATAGAGGACCTAGAAAAAACTTTGTGCCCTGGGTGCCTCTTTATGTGGCAGTCACCAAAGCCTGCAGGTTTCAGACATTCCGGTGTCAGAGTGGAGCTTTCGTCAGAAGTGTCAGCATTAACAAGATTTTAAACTGCAGGCGAATATAGAGGATCATTTGATCCTGGCAAGGAACTGTTTGCCTCAGCACTTGTGGGATAATGTAGAGTAAGCAGCAAATCATTGATGAATCTGTAATGCAACACCAGTCCCAGGAGTACTCAGGCAAAATTGCTGCCAAGAAGAAGGAAAGACAACAAAAGTGATTAAATATAGTGAAGGATTCAGACCTTGGGAGACCTTTAGGGAGAAACTTCTTATTTTAAGCATAAAGGAAAAAATTTAGTACAAAATTATGTGCATAAAGCTTTCATTCTGGCTTAATAAAAACCATAAGGAACCCACAGATGCTGAATGTTTACTGAACCTTAATTGGCCTGGAATCATTCTTGCAGTTACTCTGGTTTTATGCTTGTGGTAATGTTGACTTCTGGCCATTAGCCACAAGTTTCTAGTGAACCTTTTGCACATTCTACCAAGCCATTAATTCTCATCATTGTTAAACATTTTACATGCTTTTGCTGTCGATAGACATAATTAATAAACATAGGTAAAAATTTACATTGATAGAGCAAGGTGCTTGATCATTTCTTGAACACTTTAAACATGTGGAAAATTCACTAACAATATCCAACAATACTTAAATGGAGATTAGAGAACCTCAGTGGAATTGCATTGTCACAATGGTGTATCACATCTGTCAACACAGAGAGGTGGTCCTTAGCCTCGCATTTCAGTGGATGGCTACTTGCTCCTCATCTCTGTTTTGTCTTGTTGCTGGCTGCCATAGTTCTAATAGAGATCCAATCGGATCCACACAGGTTCTTCCATAGTAATGGCTGGAACTTGTACTAAAAACCTTGGTACTTGGCAGATCACTGCTCCTTTTCCATCTCTGTGGTGTATTCACTCTGGGAACACAGTTCAGTCCCTCTGGCCAGTTTTAATAGGGTTGACAGAACTACTTTCTTTGGGTAATCTGCTTCGTGGCACAGCTTTGTTTCCAACTACGTTGCTGTACCTGGAAGAAGGGTACAAATTCCATTTGGTTTCCCAGGTAACTTAACGTAAAAAATTTGGTTTAGTCAGTTTCAAATAATGGCATAGAGATTAAAAAAAAACCCCTCCCTATCACATTGATTATCCTCAGAGTAGTCCACTCCCTTTGCAAATTTATTTTGAAAACTAAGCAAGGTTATACTGCAATATTTATTAAATACTGTCATCTATTTAGATGAATGCAGTTGCAAAGCTTTGGCTAGTATCCTTATGAAGTTTAAATTAAAGTATGCATTCCACCTACTGATACCAAAAATACTGAGTTAATGCACCAAAAATAAACATTCATCTAAACAAAACAAAGATGCTTTTAAGTGATCATTCTGAAATTTCAATGCCATTTTGCAATAATTTGTGTTGCATGATTTGTGCTTGAAATATTGTTTTCTACTTGCCCTTAAATATGCTTCTCTATTGTTGGACACCTTTTACTTTGCACCAGCTGATTTTGGAGGTAGATGAAGATGGATGTTAGTCTTTCATCAGCTGCAGCAGGGGGGATGTTCTTTGGACTACACTGGGAAAAAAATGATATAAGGATCTCTAGCTTCATGTTTATATCCAGGCCAGCAGTCATCCAAAGAAATTTGTCTCCTAGGCACCATCAGAAAGGGGGCAGGCAATGTAGATGGGCTTGGCAATGAGGCCCTGCCTGTACCAATGCAAAAGAACCTCACAAGGCCTTTCAAGTCTGCAGTAAAGCACATGCTCAAGGGATTAGGGTGGAGGGAAGAAGAGAATCAACTCTTCTTTTTATCTGAATTCACACACACACAAAAAAAGAAACATTTTCTCTCAGGCACAACCAAGGTGGAAGATGATGTCTTACTGACAGAGGAACATGTATTTAGCGCCATGATTTATTGAGAATGTTTGTGCTTGTTTTCTGAGAAATACATGCAGGCTTTTGATAATGCTAGATGATAGCAATCTGCTCTCTGGGCAGATGTGCACATAATAGATGGTGCCTGAGGCATATTTGCCCACATTTGGTGAAATCTCTTGTCTATCTTACCGCATGATTTAGTTTTATTATATTGACTGTTAAGAACAGTATCTTCTTCATGTTGGAAATCGCTACCTTATTTATAAGTATGCAGATTTTAATAATGTAGTAACAGTAATGATTTTTTTCCTAAGTGTATGATAAAAATAGTGCCACTCTTTTCCTGTGGTTGAAGACACTTTAAAATTGGTGGACTGGTCATACTGATTTTGAAATAATCTATTTTTGCTGTTGTTCCAGATGATGTAAATTAATGGAAAATGTTCTCAGAATCTGGCTAGACAATGCTTTTGCTTTTTGAGAGTCTATGCACTATGTTTAAGAGTTTTGCCCTATGCTCTCAGCTGGGATTTAGATGGGATCATTTCCTTTGAAGTTTTGTTGTTAAGGTTCCAGATCATTACAGGATTTATGTTCGCATGTTTTCAAGTACACAAGTAGTCCTTCTGAAATCAGTGAAAAAAGTTCTGACTTAATTGATGTCAGTGCCAGAACTCCCACTCACCTCAGAAAGGCCATACCTAATCACATTTTTCAATCCAGTTGTTTTGGGGCAAGGATAGGGAGGATTGTTCTGTTTATTACCAGTGAATGAAGGGTAGTCATATGTTAAGATTTTATAAAAGATACAGTGGAGATATCCGTGGAGAACTGTCAGAAATAATTATTTCAGTTTCATAAAAATCTTCAGTTTTAGTAATTCCAGTTCTTTATTTTGTCCTTCTACATTGTGTATTAATGTTAACCATGTTACTGTGATGATGTCAAATGTAATCCAAATGGTTTAGACAGCATTTAGATACAATTGATGCAAAGCTTTTTACCATATCAAACTAAAACCATTAATCATGTCAAAATAAATTGTTTTGTCATTACCAAAATGCTTTTGTTTTGGAATCCTGAATCTCTTTTCTTCAAGCCATTTGTTTAATGGGAAATTCTGAAGTAGTGACATTCTTTCTGATTTAGGTCATCATCAAATTTTGAAGGGTCAGAGTTTCCTGCAGAACAGAAATTCCAATTTTGACCATCTCTCAGTGCAGTGAGTATTTCATTCACTGTGTCTGTTTGCCAACTCAGTGAAAAGCTGGGTTCTAAAGTGCTGTTCAAATTTGGAGCTTAGCTGGCTAATATTACTGCTGATCAAAAGAACATGAACATATGGTTATATTGTTGGACAAATACATTGTCTGTGATTCCTTGGTTTTTCAGAAGATAATGAGACTTATTACAATTGCTCTTCCTCAGATACTCCATTTCTGATTGAAAAAGATTTTAAATAGAACCCAAGCTTTTGTAGAGCATAGAATGTTTCTTCTACCTTCCTTCTGCACTCAGAAAACATCTTCACAACCTACATAATAAGCCAGAGTCACAAATAAGTCATATTTTTACTATTAAAAGCTTTTGCAATAGATTGTTGTGCAATATAGCCACTTTTATTGAGCCTTTTATTAAATTCTACTTGTTTCTTAATTTCTTGTTAGTCATAATTTCTTGGCAGAGCACTATATACTAACAATAACTCTTTATCCTCTTACCTGGTAACTTTATCTACAGAACCACATGTTGTTTTTCTTTTTCTGTAATTATGATGGGCTGGGATTGAGTGTCTTAACACTATTTTATACAAATGTAGTGTCCTCTGTTTAAGCGGAATGCATCTCATTCTATACACGTGGTTGCAAAAAAAATGTACTTTTGGATATTTCATCACATATTGAAAGTGCTGAACTCTTGGATAATACTAGTGCCTGTCTGGTGGTAATATCCTAGAATTTTTTCTGCTTGTTTCCTAAAATATCTGCATTGTCAGAAATTTTGTTCATACAGAGTCATGGAGTGCTTTTTCAAACAGTGCTGACTATGGTGTAATAAATGTCCCCAGCTGTTTTATGGGAACCTTTAACATAGAGGCTGAGTGACAAGTAGTCACATAAACCTTCTTCCACTGTTGTAATGGACCTTGAAAATCTGCTAAGCCCTGGAGGACTAGGGAGGTCATAATGAAAGGCAGGATATAAAAAATAATATTAACACATCGTTAGTGTAAGCAAACATAATGTGATTTTACATTTAAATGAAATTTTATATACTCACAGGAAGCATCATCTAGCAGTTAAGGTATAGAATTGGGAACTGAATGATGC